TTTTTATGTGCTATGTCCTTTCAAGACCTCCCCCAGACCATGTTCTGTCATCCACCTGCTCAAGCTCGTCAGGTATGTCACACACTGCTTTTCCTTGTCTCTCTTTCCCTCTATTCAACCCGTGAGTATCAAATTCTCCAGGCCCTCCTTCCTCATTATGTGTCCCAGAAACTTAAACTCTAGTTCAATTGAAGCCTTTGTTTGAAACTCTAAGAATAGGATTATTATACACTGGTTTCTTCAGACTAGTATCCACATCTTGGTTGTTAACAGCAGAATGTTTCAACCCTTGTATTCTCTGGCCTTCTTAATTTGTCTAATTACAGAACAGGAAATATAAAATGCATATATAGATTGTAATTGATAAATTGTCATTTAATTTATGCAAAAATGAAAATAACATCTCATTTTAACACATATATTTACCAAAATTACACAAAAATATTTTGAAATACTAAAGAGCAAATTTATTCAATAAAATTGCCATTGGCTTCAACCACAGCCTCCAGATGACTTCAGAATCTCCTGCAACTCTACTGGGCAGTCTCCTTGTTTAAGTTGGTGAATGCTGCCATAATCCTTGCCTTCAGTTCATCTTTGGTGTTACAAGGAGTTTTGTTGGTCTCTTGCTCAACTGTGCCCCACATATAATAATCAAGGGGATTGCAGTCTGGGATGTTAGGTGACCAGATGTGAGGGTTAATGTGGTTGCTCACATTGTCTAACAGCCATGACTAGGTTCTCCTGCTTGTGTGCTATAGTGCAGAATCCTGTTGCCAGACATAGGGTCTTCCAGCAGCCACCCACTTGCTTTATTATATCACCCCAGTAGGTGTTATTTTCTTGTGGGTTGATCAAGTAAAATTGAACATATGAATGTCCTGAAAGAAAATTTACTCTTCTGTTGGTGGAATATTTCCAGTGACCACACCTAGAAAATCACAGAGAGAAAAAAAAAAACTTTTTTCCCCTTCTTTTTTTTTCTTCTTTTTTCCTCTTCTTTTTTCTTTTTTTATTCTTTTTTATTCCTTCCTTTTTTCCTTTTTCTTTTTTCTTTTCTTTTTCTTTTTCCTTTTTCTGTTTTCCTTTTCCTTTCTTTCTTTTTTCCTTTCTTTCTTCTTTTTTCCTTTCTTTCTTCTTTTTTCCTTTCTTTTTTCCTTTCTTTTTTCTTTTTTCCTTTTGTTTTTTCGTAAATGATATATTATAACAAAAACAAAAATTTTTTTTCATAAATGCAATATTAGAATAATTTTTTTGTCAGAATTTTTGAGATGGGGAATTGTCATTATTGTATGACTTACTCTTTTTTTTGTACCCACATACTCATCTTGACTGTTATACTCACAAGGATAAATAACAATAATCTGAAGAAGGGCAGAAGGTATAACAGCCAAATCTTCATGAGTATAACAATTATGGTGCATATGCTGGTTCAAGCATTAACACATAGAATATTGTCTTTTGCTTTATATGGGATATTAAAAAAAAAGGTTTAATTTCAAGAAATGATATGTGGCCATGTGATATTCATTATACCAATCAGTTATGTGCCATTCTTAAGCAGAATATTTTCTTGAAGTATATTGCCATTTCTTTTTGCAATAGACTGGTTGCCATCCAAGGCTATAGGACCCAGTCTGTCCTGCTATTCACACAATAGCAATGGGGTGTAGAGATGGATTCATTCCAAAGGTAATGTGTGTATAAGTGATTTTAATGAACCTGACTGGAATTCAATTTCTGCTATCCAATCTCTCATTCCAAACCATTCTTTATCTTTACCATCCCGTGGATATTCTAAAAAGTAAGAGAGAAGGGACTGTATAACATTGAAATATCATGACAATAACTACCAAGAATTGGGGACTAGTCTGAACAGATCAATATATAATAAAGGTAATTCCTCATATGAAAAAAACTGAATAATATTAGTAATAAATATTTGTCTAGCCATGCAGGTAGATTCCTGAGAAAATTTTTTCACTTATTTTCCTGCTTGGTCAGATTCATGCTGAAATGGACAGAGGGGCTGCTTGATATGTGTAATCCTCACCTGAAAAAGATTTCCTGTATAGGATGAGGGTGTAGACAGGTAGCATTGGGTAGTGGTATCAAAAGAGAAACAGCTGAATCGCAGCAATGCCTTGTGGCCACTGTCATTTTTGCCATTTTCAATTCTGCCTTCTCATCATCGCATTGGTCCTCCATTACGTTGTCACATCTGTCACTGGGGAAAATAAATCTGTCCACCTGTTAGAAAGCAAAAAGAAAGATTTACATGACTAATGATGGGGAATCTACGGGGGTATGTGTACACACTTCCAAGGACTTCATATTCAGAATAAAAATATTTTGGTATATTCCTACCCACCTATAGAATTGTATATAGAAAAAAAAGACAGATATTAACAGAATGAGGTAGATAGATACATACATAGACGGTCTTTGCTAGATAGATAGACAGCTGCAGGTAGACAGATGTACAAACTTGGGTAGATAGATGGACAGTCTTAGATAGATAATCTTGGATAGATAGATAGATAGATAGATGCCCAACCTTGGGTAGATAGATAGATAGATAGATAGATAGATAGATAGATAGATAATAGATAGGATAGATAGATAGATAGATAGATAGATAGATGCCCAACCTTGGATAGATAGATAGATAGATAGATAGATAGATAGATAGATACCCAACCTTGGATAGATAGATAGATAGATAGATAGATAGATACCCAACCTTGGATAGATAGATAGATAGATAGATAGATAGATAGATAGATAGATGCCCAACCTTGGATAGATAGATAGATAGATAGATAGATGCCCAACCTTGGATAGATAGATAGATAGATGCCCAACCTTGGGTAGATAGATAGATAGATAGATAGATGCCCAACTTTGGGTAGGTAGATAGATAGATAGATAGATAGATAGATAGATAGATAGATAGATAGATGCCCAACCTTGGGTAGGTAGATAGATAGATAGATAGATGCCCAACCTTGGGTAGATAGATAGATAGATAGATAATCTTGGATAGATAGATAGACAGATGCCCAACCTTGGGTAGGTAGATGGATGGATAGATAGATAATCTTGGATGGATGGATAGATAGATAATCTTGGATAGATAGATAATCTAGTTGTTTACTTTTCTTTGAAGTTTTATCCCTTCATCTCAGAATAGGCTGCACCATAGGTAGTTTCATCCAATGCTGCAAACTATTACAGAACTAAAACATTAACCTAAGAACTCAAGTCATATTCTTAAATAGCCTCATCAGATTGAGACTTATATGGAGGATATGCATCATTATACATATTTAGAAATATCTAAACTCTCATCTGTATATAACTGCTTTCTAAGATCAGTGATTAAAAATGGGTTTGAGCAAGTGAAGTATATTGGTCTTCTTCATATCTTGTGGACTGGCACAACAAAATCACAAAGAATTGTATGGAATATCAGAAACTACATCACTTAAGGATTATCAGTAGCAACAACTAAAATGGATAGCACATATAAATCAAAGCAAAAATAATGGCAAAATAAAAATGTTGACATTCCACACTACTTCAAGCCAAAGGTTAGGAAGGAAAACCACATCACTACTAGAAAGAATGATAACAGCTACTGAACTTGAAAAGCCTATTTTCCTGAAAAATTGTTAAAGAAAAAGATTTTATAAATTTCAAGTGAAAGCCGTACTGGCAGCTTTGTCAATAAATGTTTCCTTATAAGAAAACAGCTATATATTGTTATTACCATTACACATAACACCCAGAACAAGAAGTACATAAAACTTGATTTCCAGAAAGTTCTGTTCATAGACAAGTGTAGAGCAATACTGTGCATGGATGGAGCCTAACGGATAAACCTAAGCATATTTGATTAAGGTATCAGCAAGGGAGTGGATGGTTTGTTTTAGATAGGAATCATCAGTAATGAGCTGATTGGTCCCTGGAAGTTGGATGATGGCATTAAAATAACCTCATTTGTTGACATTGAATCCCAAAAGCTAACCTTCAGATATCGCTTAAGGAGACAGTATAATTTTCATGCATGACAACACTCTATGCTGCTCATGCAACTTATGAATACTTAGGTAAATTAGGGTTTAAAAATGACAGGCTAATGGTGTGGCTGCCATATTCCCTGGATCTAAACCCTATTAAGAATTTTTAGATCATTGTCAAGAGGCATGTTTATGAAGGCTGTTATCCAAAAATGAACTTTGACCCCTGAAGAAATTCTGAAATTAACTTTTTACATTCATAGCAGGATGTCTTATATCATTAAAGAGAATAGAATGTACATCAGTAATTAATAGTTTTATGCTTTGTTATTGCACCCTGTTTATTTTGTATTTCTTTTCTTTAAATTAATATTCTTGACTTAGTCATTGGCTTTGATTCCCTAGCTTTATCTACAGCATCCAATGTATGAGAATAAACTGCATTTGGCAGCAAGGAAATAGATATTTATGCCTTTTATATATAAAAATGTATTAGATTGTTGCATGTCAACACTGACAACTTTTCGGGCAACTCCTGCATCCAAGCTGGCTCCAAATGTAATGCCCTGTATTCCTTTGGATCTTGTCAGTTCGGCCGAGAAGGTGGGGGCATCTCGTCTGGGCAGTGCATTGCTTCCATATACCATCAACCAAACCTTTGCCCTGGAGAGGTCACTCCTGTCTCACCCACAAAGGACTGAATTTTGACCATACAGGATGCTGCCTTTATCTTGTAAGATAAAGAGATCAATGTACAGACAAATGGTAAATTTACTGATGGTGCAAGATAGATTCTTATGGGAAACTGTGTGCATTTTTCCACTCCATTTTCCAAGTGGTCATACTTGCAGCCATTTTTTTTTTTTCTCTCTTTTTGTCCGTCTGTCTCTCGTTAGTCTGATGAATAAGAATCTTGTTTCAAGTCATATTTGTCTCCACTTTCAATTTTTTTCATTTTTTATCTCTAGTCAAAGACAGATGTTTGCAATTGTTTGTCTTTTCTTTGGTGCTGTCATACACTTAAAGAAAGTTATGTGCTTAAATGATGGGGTTGGGGATGAAATGGCATTTTTCTCTCTCTCTCTCTCTCTCTTTCTCTCTCTTACTACTTCTTCACACTTTCAGTGAGGTTGGCCATTTTCTCTGCTTAACTTGGCGAAATATTTTTATTGACTTTTTTGCACCTGTATTGTTTTTAAAGCAATAGCACAAAACACAATTTCCTAGTCCAATGTCCTGAAAGAAAATTTACTCTTCTGTTTGTGGAATATTTCCAATGACCACACCTAGAAAATCACAAAGAGAAAAAAAAACTTTTTCCCCTTCTTTTTTCTTTTTTTATTCCTTTTTTTCCTTCTTTTTTATTCTTTCTTTTTTTTTTTTTCCTTTTTTCTTTTTCTTCTTTCTTTTTTCTTTTTCTTTTTTTCGTTTCTTTTTTCCTTTCTTTCTTTTTTCCTTTCTTTCTTTCTTTTTTCCTTTTTTCCTTTCTTTTTCCTTTTTTCCTTTCTTTTTCCTTTTTTCCTTTCTTTCTTTTTCCTTTTTTCCTTTCTTTCTTTTTCCTTTTTTGTCTTTTCTTTCTTTTTCCTTTTTTCTTTTTCTTTCTTTTTCCTTTTTTCTTTTTCTTTTTTTTTTTTTTAAATATCTGGTAGCTCTTTCAGAAACAAGCCACACCTATGTGTGTGTGTGTTTTTTTTTTATTAGTTCTGAATTTGATAACTACATTATAAGAAGTTATTTTTGTCATCTCCTCAGGTATGTGTATGTGTGTTTGTGTGTGCGCGCACGCGTGTGATGTGAGTTCTAATTACAGTCAGTGCCGAATTGTGGTGTAGGTCAGCTCTAAAGTTGACAAGGTTGGAGTAGGATGACTTGTCACCTGCTTTAAAAAAAAAAAAAACTTAGGGGAACCAGTTTAAGCAGTAATCACCTGGATGAGTTTCATAGATGATGATGGTGGGGTGGTAGTAGTGAAAAAAAGTCAATATTTTGTCATGCAAATTTGTTTTTTCCTTTTCTTTTTTGAGAATTTTACACCTACACAAGTATGCAAGAGCTCAGACAAAAAAAAAAAAAAGAAGAAAAAATACTGGCTTGGAAAATTGTTGAATATCTCCTGGTTGGAAAACTGAGTGCCTCATAATGAGCCATCATCAAAATGATAAACCATTTAAGGTGCTTCCCCTGAAAAATATCTTTGTCATATTTAATAGTTTCTATTATAAATTACTCAGAAATTTCGTAATTTTTTTTTTTTTTTTTTTTTTTTTGGTGTTTAATACCAAATACAGCACTTGGTATTGACCTCAGTGTCCACTTTTATGTTTACAAATGCTCTATCCATGATATTAAGCAACTTTTAGGCATAAATATAGCAAAATTAAATAAAGGAAAAGTTCAAAATCTTGTCTCCAGAGATTTGCAATTCAGAGAGGTAACATAAATCAATTGCATTATTTTATATATATATATATGTGTGTGTGTGTGTGTGTAAAATGTGTATGTATATGTGTTTTTCTGACGATCGCAAAGAGTGTAAAACCCAGGGTCGCAAACTCATATCAATCCATATATATATATATATCCTTTAGAACTTCGTCAGATCAAATTTGTTATGTTGGAACAACTACACATGAGTACAAATGAGGGATGCTGGGAATTAAATTTTCTTTTTTTCTTTAATCTAGCCAATTTCATTTAGATTCTTTTTATTTCCATAACTTTTTTTATTAGATATCCCACACTGTGTTAATAAAAATAATGGAATATCTACTAACAAAAGTTATGGAAAGTAAAAAAAGCTAAATGAAGTCAGCAAGATTAAAAAAAAAAGTTTAAAATTTAAAATTCCCAGCATTCCTTGTTTGTGCACATGTGTAGTTGTCCGAACATAACAAATTTGATTTGATGAAGTCTGAAAGGATGAAACACGTCACAAGAAAACTTTTTCCACTTTGTCATACATTTTTCCCCAATATTGTTCCTGATATATAAAAATATATCGTTATCTTATATATATATATATATATATATATATATATATATATATATATATATATATATAGTTGGAAAATTGTTGAATGTCTCCTGGTTGGAAAACTGAGTGCCTCATAATGAACAATCATCAAAGATGATAAACCATTGAAGGTGCTTCCCTGGAAAAATATCGTTGTTATATTTAATAGCTTCTATTATAAATCACTCAAGAATTTTGTATATATATTTTTTTTGTTGTTAAATACCAAATACAGGACTCTATGTTATTTTTCTATTTATATCTCTGACATGTTTTTCTACACAGAATCACAGTGTAGTGTCTATTCAGCCCTGGTCAATGTGAATTGGCATCATTATACTTTCTAAAAAAAAAAAAGCACCAAAACTTTAAATAGAGAAAATTAAGTGGAGAAGACTGTATGAAGGAGGAAATGTAGAAAGAAAGAGACTTAGAGAAAATGAAAAGGAAACCAGGTGAAAGGAAAAAGTAAAGAAAGAATGGGAAAAGGATGGAGTAAATAGAAAGACAAGAATGCTGGTTGGATATCAAGAGATAGACGGATTTATCAACTGATTTAAGTACAGAAAAAATAAACATTGAGATTCATTAACATTCTTTATAAAAAGATAGAATAAAAGAAAGATAAAAGATAGATTGCAGTAAAAAAAAATATTTATGCATCTTTTATTTCTTTTTTGCATATGAAAATAATCCCTATTTATATAAGATTTATATAAAAACGTGGATGGGCAACAAAGATTGGAAGGGATAAGGGATCAAATAAGAAGATACCAACAAAGTGAAAGAAAAGAATCCGTATATAAGATAATGGATAATCTTGGTTGCCAGCATCCATGGATCTTTCACTGCTTCATCTAGTTTATATGAATTATCTATTATTAGGTATTGATAGGGCTTTTTTCTTTCTTTCTATTTCTTTTTCTGAAATCGAACAGTGTCTCTTATATGTCTTTTCCATCTTTCCTTGTAACCAAACCAGAATAATTCATTATTTATGAGGTATTAGCAGGGCCTCTCTCTCTTTCAGCATCTCTGTTTTTTTCTTCAATCTTTCCTCATAATGAAAATGGAATAGTTCATTATGAGGTATTGACAGAGCTTCTTTCTCTTTCTTATTCTGAAATCAAGCAGCATTACTGATATGTCTTTTCTGTATTTCCTTGCAATCAAAACTGAATAGTCCATTATTTATGAGGTATTGATAAGGCACCACATACATACTAATAGACTAATTAATTAAGGAATAATCAGAATTATAAAATGATTCCAGATAACATTATTTCTATTATTCCTTGTCAGCACCACTCATGTCAGAGTTTGGTTCATTCAGTTCCTCCACAATGCTTGACCCTAACATGGCTCAGGAGGCCAAATCAGGAATAGAACAATCTTGGTCATTGATCGCATGATAAGGCAGATGATGGTCTTGGCTGGGGTTGCTGCCCCAGGCCTTGCCTTTCCTTCATTTTTTTTCCTTTTCTGTCTTTGTCCTCTTCTCAAAAGTGGAACAACCAAAATGAATTTCTCTTTGCCAAGATGGACAGTTGGCAACTCCTGTTTCCCAGGTATTAGGGCTGATTTCGGCTTGAAGGAAGGAAGACTTCAGTTAGTCTTCGGATCTGAGTTTTGGGGCTCTGCAATTTTTACTACCCATGTAAATAAAGCATCTAGAATTAAAATGAAAGAAATGCTACTAAAAGAATTAATATTCAACATTGCTTTATTGAATAAAAATTAAATATAGCAGATAAACACAATGTCATATTAAAGCAATTGGTATACAGATAAGACAAGTTCCTGCTATTTATGACATTGATAAAAAGAGCTATAATTTCATATCAGATAATAGAAAACTTCCATCTTTTTATTTCATTATGTACTTTTTCACAAATTTTTCACATTAGAAGTATTGCAAGATGAAATTCTGTGGACTAATTTTCTTGTCTTTTGTCACAGTTTTTTTTTTTTTTTTTTTTTTTTTAAGCATTTCACCCTAAACGGCAGGGTGCCACTAGCACACAATGGGTTACAGAAAGTGAGAGCAAGAGAGAAGTGGTGAGATAGAGGAAAGGATGAAGAGAAGTACAGGGAATAGATCAAGGCATCATGTCGATTGACATTACATTTGAATAGTTGGAGATTATAGCTACCAGGGAAACAATAGGACGGGAGGTGTGAGACATGAAGCTATTGGAGTAGAAGAGACGGCTACATTTAACCGTTTCAACAGTGAAAGGGTAGGACTGAGATGCCAGCCTAGTAGCACATTTAAATTCATGCAGTTTACAAACTAACTAATTTATATCAATGTGACCAGTATCTATTATTAATCCTCACATGACTAAGTTTTTTTTTTTTTGTTTTTTTTTTCAATTTCTCAAGCCATGGCTCACCCATTTTATAGATTCTTATTATTTAAAAAGAGAAGAAAGGTTTGCATATTATTTGCTTGCGTGAAAGCTAAATGAAATGAGGACCTGCTGAGAGTTCAAGATGAGCATTGGCTTCTTTGTGGCTTTTAATGGTTAAGACGTCTTTGTGGATATTTGGTGACTAAGTTTGAATGCCTGTCAGCTAACAACTCAGGTGTTGTATGCATCTGGTATGCAAAGTCTACCACCTGCTTGACCCAGGCCACTAAAAGGATTCAAATGAAAGACTCTTTTCTGACATTTCTTGATTTCATTTAACATTTGTGTTCCTGTGTATAATGAGGGCATAACGAAAAGTTATCAACCTAAGAAGCCATTAAAAATTCTGAGGTCTGCTCATTTGGACAGATTTCGAAAAGTGGCTTAGGTTGAGAAAGTTTCAGCAGTCTGTCTCTCTGTGTCTCTCTCTCCTCCCTTTTCTCTCTCTCTCTTTCTCTCCTCCCTTTTCTCTCTCTCTCTCCTCCTTTTCTCTCTCTCTCTCCCTACCTTTTCTCTCTCTCTCTCCTCCCTTTTCTCTCTCTCTCCCCTTTTCTCTCTCTCTCTCTCCTCCCTTTTCTCTCTCTCTCTCTCTCCTCCCTTTTCTCTCTCTCTCTCCTCCCTTTTCTCTCTCTCTCCTCCTTTTTCTCTCTCCTTCCTTCTCTCTCTCCTCCTTTTTCTCTCCCGTCTCTCTCCTTCTCTCTCTTCTCCTTTTTCTCTCCCTCTCTCTCCTTCTCTCTCTCTCTTCTCCTTTTACTCTCCTTCTCTCTCTCTCTTCTCCTTTTACTCTCCTTCTCTCTGTCTCTTCTCCTTTTTCTCTCCCTCTCTCTCCTCTCTCTCTCTTCTCCTTTTTCTCTCCCTCTCTCTCCTTCTCTCTCTCCCCTCCCTTTTTCTCTCCCTCTCTCTCTCCTCCTTTTTCTCTCCCTCTCTCTCCTTCTCTCTGTCCTCCTCTCTCTCCTTCTCTCTCTGTCCTCCTCTCTCTCCTTCTCTACCCTCCCTTTTCTCTCTCTCTATCCTCCCTTTTCTCTCTCTCTCTTTCTCTCTCTATCCTCCCTTTTCTCTCCCTCTCCCCTCCCTTTTCTCTCTCTCCCCTTCCTTTTCTCTCTTCCTCCCTCTCTCTCCTTTTCTCTCTCTCTCTTTCCCCACCTCACACACACACACACACACACACACTTCAATGATTTTACTCTTATTTTTAAGTGAATGTATGGATTTTTTTTTCCAAACACAGTCAGCATATTCATTATTGCTGTGTTCACGGCTGATGTTATTGAGTGCTGGATTTTTTCTTTTTTTATTAATCATGCTTCCATTATTTTATATGTAGATGATTACAGTTAAAAGAATAGTCAACTGCATCTACCAACAATCGTTTCCTTCCTTATTTGCAATACATTCTTATAGTAAAACACTGTTACAAAATAATAATAATAATAATACATATAATAGCCCTATTCTATCATTAATACTAACATTAATTCCTGACCACTGACTATTCCTTTTTTTCCTCATTTACTATGCATTCCTATAGTAACAACCAAAACCTTCAGAACGTTCACATTGTGAATGTGACAGTAAAAATGAGGACAACAGTCCAACACAATGTAAATAGTGTAATTTTCTTTTTAATTTGATATTTTTTTTATATTATTTCTTAAAACCCTTCTAACTTTTGCTTATCTGTTCAAAATGTAGCAATTGAGCATTTTGTTTGGTCTGTAAATCTTTCTCTTTGTTCTCGTAATCCCCTTACAAATTTCTATGGCTGGGTGTGACTTTTATTTCTACTCCGTAGATACAGAAATGTTCAGGATTTTAACAATCAAGTAAAAGCAAGGTTGTAACTAAGTTTGCTACAGATTTACCATCTACTGTCATGTTATCTTGGCTAGGTTATTTTGTATTTAATCAGTTTAAAGAAACCATGTAGCTAAACCCTTCTTTTTTTAAATCAATTCACCCCAAACAAGGCAATCATGCCTCTAAGAAGCAAGGCAGGGAAAAGACTTTAGAAAGAACCATTAATAGTATAAATTATAGTGTTTAGGCAGAGACATTAGAAGTATAGAGTTGAAATAGACTTTAGAATGAATCAGAAACCCAATCCTAAATGGGAAACACAAGATAAATCTCTCTACTCCTGTTCAAAAGACTGAGGAGGAGTATGAATTGTCTTTCTTGATTAGCTTGTGTGAATGGATGGTAAAATGAGGAGTGGAAGATTTAGCCAAAGGAGAAAAACTGCTAAGAACCACAAGGGATAGGAAGTTGTGGAGAGCCATGATCGTCTACGTTCTGAAGGGATGTTGCACATAGAGAAAGAGATATAAACAAAGAGAAATTTGGACAATGGAGATATATAATATATATCTTCAAGCAGCAGTCCTTCATTAATACAAGTTTGAAAAAATACATTAAGAGATTGCAACAGCTATTAGGGCAGTGTGATTAAATATACTTTAATGTTAAAAAAAATTATTTAGTATTATTATTGTTTAGGTAATAAGCATTATAAGATAGCACAAATAGCTATATTGTGGAAAAAGAAATTTTCAACAATATACACATTTTTTACCTATTTATAGTTATTTTTTAACTTTTATCAAAAGTGACATTATTGTACATGTAGTTATGGATAATATTATACATTAATTACTAATTTTTTTAATTAATAACTGTTTGTGCTCAGTTGTTGACATTAATAACTATCTGCTGATGTGTTAAAATTTTGGAATAATGCAATAGTAAAAATTTAAATTTCATCTCTTATTGATGTTGCGATCTGTAAACAAGGAATTTTTTTTTTAATTTTAGTTAAATTTTCTTATTCAAAGACTGATACATTCTTGTCATTAATTTAATTTTGGGTGTTCAGCTTGGCAATTATAAACAACTAATTTTAAAATAAAAATTCTCTTCTTTATCTTTCTGTTGCGATATTTACTTTGCACTCCCAAAAGCAAATGTCATATGGTACGAGGAAAATCTCTTAATCATCTACTGATTGTGTTGTCCTTAGAGAACTTGTTCAGGCCTGTTTGCTTGAATATGTCATCACAGATCCAGGGTGGAAAACTAACTTGAATTTCAGGATGTGTTTTATTTAAACACTGGCGAAAATTTTTGCTTACCGTAAATAAATCATTTTGTGCATTTTTGTACTGCTGTGGTCACCACTCCCCTCTGTCTCATAAATGTGGTTCATGGGTGATATTCAAGGCAGAATAGTGCAATGGCTTGCCAGTTCCTTTTGCACTGGGGATGTTGAAGTTACCCTGTCCCTCCTTTCAAAAGTTAAAGAGTCATGACCTACAAAGCGGCAAATGGTGGTTTGAATTCAGACTGGTTACCAACCAAGGCTATAGGGTCTAATCTGTCCTGCTATTTACACATAGCTGGGAGGGAGAGATGTATTTATACCTTTCCCAAGGGTATTAGTAATTAAGTGAATGTAATGAACTTGACTGGAATTTGAATTTGGTTCTCTGATTCCTCAATTTGAACCACTATCCATCCCTCCACTGTGCCTCTGTAAATAAATAAAAGTTGTTAAATTTTATGGCTAGTTTTACTACATCGGCAGATGAGGCAAACAACCTCAAATATTCCTTACGCACATTTGTGTAATTTCTTTTAATCATTTTAGCCCATGGAAGGAGATAATGCCACTAAGATGCAAGAGGGTTACTGGGAATGAAAGAAAATGAGAAAGGGGTTAGTGAGGACAATAAAAGAACAGGATTCAAGAAGACAGAAGATGGTGACTTATATTGCACTTAAATTTTTGAAGATTGTAGATCATAGAAGAGCAAGAAACCAGAAAAGATTTCTTCATGCAATAAAAAAAATCTATTAGAATAGAACTTACAGTTACATTTAGCCAGTAAAACAATGAGACTTAGTTACCAATTTACTAGTCAGAAAGTTAAGTGCCATATGCAATACACATTTGGTTGATCATATCTCTTTTGATTTGAGAACTTCAATGTGGGGTAATGGTTAGCAAGCTTGTTTCGCTAGATCAATTACAGTTGAGTATTGAGTTTGATCCTCACTGAGTGCTCTCATGCTTTTGGCCTTGTGCCACATCTAAACTGCGCTTTGAAATCAGCATGTCTCTTTAGATTCATGACTGAATAGGCCTTGTGCCACATCTAAGCTACGCTTATAAAATCATAGGTAACCTTGACGTGGTATGATAGCAAACTTGTCTCACTAGAACAGTTACGACTGACTAGTGAATTCGATCCTCACTGGGTGCTCCCATGCTTTTGGCCTCGTGCCACATCTAAGCATGTAACTTTAGATTCATGACTGACTAGGCAGAAGATTTTACCTGCAGTAGTTTGCTGTTTCTTTTTGCAGTAGACTGGTTGGCAACAAAGGTAATGAGATCCAGTTTTTCCTGCTATTCAACCCATAGCTGGGGGAAGAAGAGATGGATTCATACCTTTCCCAAGGGTATTTGTACATAAGTGAATGTAATGAATCCAATTGGAATTTGAACTCTGCTCTCCAATTTCTCATTTCCCAGCTGTTATCCATTACACCACCTACATACCCACTAGTACTATGCTTAAATTCATGTGGTCAAGATACCAAAGAGGAGAGCTCAGTAGAACAAATGACATGAAAATATTTATAGAGAAGACAGAGACCTGTTATCTTGACTTCAGTCACTTTCTCACATGGCTTCCTTCTGTCTTTTTTACCAATATTTCCATGGCAATTGTTCTGCAGCAATTTAAGCATACTACTAGATTGGCCATTTTTTCCTCTCAAAAAATAATTTAAAAAACAAATACTTTTGGATTTGTTATAGCAGTCAAACATTTTAGATATGTCCAGATAAATTCTGGTCACCCTTTCATTACTTCCAGAAATTTTGATTTTACTACATCTGGGATAATTGTTTGCCAACTGCTGGTTTCATTTTGTTTTTTTTTTTCGGTTTTTTATTTCACACCCAAACAAGGTAATAAAGCCACTAAGATGCAAGGATAAAAGTAACTTAAAAGGAATTCTGAACTGAGTGTAACTTACATGAAATTCTGAAGTGAAACCTTTATTTTATCTATGATGATAGACTGTACTTGTTTCACTGCCCATGTCCATGTAATAAATTCACTAAGATATAAGGAGTTACTGAGTTTGAGCAAATATGAAAAAAAAAAAAAACATTATTAGGTGAGAAAAGAATAAAAAGAACAGAAGATAATGATTGATATTGCATTTAAATTTTTGAAGATCAAAAGGTCAAACTAGGAAGTAACAACCTGGAAGAAAGTTCCATAAGCGAGAAGTGCAACAGAAGAAACACTTAACATAGAACTTACAGTTATATCTAGCCATTTCAATTGTAAAATGATGAGAACTTACTACCAATCTAGTACTGCACATAAATTGTTAAAGTCTAGGTACTACAGAGGAAAGTTCATTAGAACAATTTCCATGAAAATATTTATAGAAAAAGCAGTAGGAAGCTATGTTATGTTGATGAGAAGCTAAGATGCCAGATGAGGACCAATAACGTTTCAAATTCTACTTTATTTTAAATATATAATTCATCATCATTATTAAAGAGGGCTTACAGAACATAATTCCCCCCCCCCTATTTTACATGATCTCAATTATTTATAGCTCAAGGGATAGAGCAGTAACAGGGAAACATGTGGTTCTATACAACAATAAGACTGATTATCACAAACATGGCTAGGAGGAAATCAGCTTTGCAAAGGCTTCTTCACTTGAGAATCTAAATTAGAACTCTTGAAAGATTCTTGGATTTAGCTTCTAAACTGTCTTCCATTTGTCCTTCTCAGGAATGACAATCACCACTCTCATTGGCTTGTTTATCTGTCTCAATATTCAAGGTAGAAATGATGAAAATCATTTCTTTTTAATATCTTTCAAAATTTGGCTTCTTCATTTTCTATTCTCACTTTAATATCATCTTATCGTTTAATAATCTTGACACACCTTATTTTTTATCTTTATATACATATTTGGTTCCTATTAATGAATCAAAAATATTTTCGTTTTTTTTTTTTTTTTTAAGTATTGATCCATTTTTTACTGTTTATCAACCCTTTGAAGGTTATTTAAATCCAGAAAATGTTTTTAGATTAAAGAATATGTTTTTATAGATAATAATGGTTTAGTCTTACTAATTAAGCCCATA